ATGTGTGTGATCCCGGTGTGTGATCCCAGTGTGTGATCCCGGTGTGTGATCCGGGTGTGTGATCCCAGTGTGTGATCCTGGTGTGTGATCCCAGTGTGTGATCCCGGTGTGTGATCCCAGTGTGTGATCCCGGTGTGTGATCCCTGTGTGTGATCCTGGTGTGTGATCCCAGTGTGTGATCCCAGTGTGTGATCCCAGTGTGTGATCCTGGTGTGTGATCCCAGTGCGTGATCCTGGTGTTGCAGGAGCAGCTCCAGCAGGGAGAGCTCCATCCAGCCCCACACGAGCAGGGCCCAGGGTGGGGTTGGGTGGGGTGGTACCTCTCTGACATAGAGCTCCATGAAGCCAGAGATGAACCCGTCCTCCTCCAGGGCGATGATGAGGTCGACGCCGGAGACGAAGGAGAACACCACGAACACTGTGGGGGGGGAGCCAGGGCAGCTCTGCCAGGGGCCCACAGCTCCCCCCAGATCCCAAATCCCAAACCCCACAGCCTGGGGGGGGTCTCACCACAGAACAGGGGGTCCTGGAAGTGGCTCACGCCGCCGACGAGGAGGATGACGGAGAAGAGGCCGAGGAGCACCAGGGTCACCGTCAGCACCAGCAGTGGGGGGTTGCTGTGGAGCAGAGGGGGGGTCCAGCACCAGGCACAGCCTGGGGGTGAGGCCCCATTTCCCCCCTGCCCACGGGAAACACTCCTCACCCCCCTGATCTTTAGGGTCAGGATCAGGCCCCGCACTCCAGGGGGGTCCCGGCACTGCCCAAACTCTGAGAGGGGAAAACGGCTCCTCTGGGGTCTGAAACAACCCCGGGGGGGGGTGAATCCCAAAGGAAGGGAGGAACCTGACATTCCAGCAGGGTGGGGAAGGGGCTGCCTTGGCAAGGCTCCTGTGCCAGGGCAGGGAGCAGCCCCAGCAGGGCCCCCCCTCTCCAATCTGTGTCCAGACCAGGGAAATCAATAATAAACCAAAATCAAGGAGAGAGAAACTGAAAAAGTGTCCTGAGAGAGCGAAGAAATTCTAGGGAAAACCATCCTGGGCAGCTGGAATTGCTCTCCCAGAGCCAGGAATTGGGACAGTGGCTGAACAGGGTTGAGTGTGTGTGTGTGTGTCCCCCAAAAAAACCCATCCAAACCTTCCTGAAACACCCAAACCAGCCCAGATGCTCTTGGGAAAAAAACCCCAAACCAATCAAATCACCGAAGTGTCACCGCCCCGGTGCATTATTGCCGCTGTATAATTAATTACTACACAACTAATTACCCCCACGGAATGATTAATTCACGGCACGGGGGCTCCTCCAGCTGCAGGATGCCCAGGGATGGATCCCGGAGATCTGGGCTGCAGCAGGGATGGGAGGAGATGGAAAAGACTGGGAATAAACGTGGGGAGAGCTTTAGAGGGTGACCAGGAGAGCCCCCGGCTCTGTGGTGAGGAGTTGGGTTAAAAGCTCTTCCTGCTGGTGGAAATAAATATCTAAGGAATGGGAAAAGGAGGGTGAAGGGGCCTGGTGGGAAGGGAAGGACGGAAAGGGGAGAAAGGGATGAAGGAACACAAGGGGAAAGCCCTGAGCTGGAGGGTCCCGGGGGCTGGGACTGGAAATTAGAGGAGAATGAACCAGTCAGAATTTGCAGGGAAAAGGAATAAAGCGGGTGAGGAAGGGATGGTGGAGCTCCTGGATCCACAAGGAGCCGGTCCCAAACGCCCTGGATGCCCGGCCGGGCTCACGGGGGTGTTGCTGGGCAGGAAAACCGAAAGCGGGGCCGTTCTGGGTTGTTGTGACAGCGGCGGTGACCGGGAGGGTGCGGGGGGTGACATCGGCCACGCCGCGACACGTCAGCGGGGACGCTCCGGGAGGGGAACGGGGTGTGGAGGGGTCTCCAGAGCCGGGATCACCCCAATTCCAGGGGGTCTGAGGGGCGAGGAGCCCCCTGATTCTCCCCAAAGAGCCCCGCTGGGCCCGACCAGCCCCAGCGGGGTTGGAAAGGCAGCGAGGCAGCCCCGGGACACGCCGGGAAATCCCCCCGGGATTGAGCCCCGATCCAGGACAGATCCAGCCCCCTGTCCCAGACAGGACCCCCCCAGATCCAGGACAGATCCAGCCCCGATCCAGCCCCCTGTCCCAGACAGGACCCCCCCAGAGCTCGGACAGGCCCAGCCCCCTGTCCGGGGTGGACCCCACGATCCGGGATGGACCCCCTGTCCCGGGACAGCCCCAGCCCCCCGCCCAGGACACGTTCCCTGTTCTCCAGGTCCGGGTGGGACCCCGGGACGGGCCCCCTGTCCCGGGCGGGATTGGATCCCACCAGCCCTGCACGGAGCCGTGTCCCGGGACAGCCCGGACTCTCCCCCCGCTCCCGGACCGGTCCCGTCACCCCTCCCCGAGCAGGACCCCAAAACCCCCCGAGCCCGGGGGTCCCCGGGGGTCCGCACTCACTCCGCCAGGGCGGTGGCGCCGGTGATGCCGAAGGCCACGGGGATGGAGAGCAGGGGGGCGGCCAGGGCGCCCGGCCCCGCCGGGAGCTGCATCCCCGGCCCCGCCGCCGCGACAGAGCCCGCGGACTTCGCCCCGACGGCGGGGACAGAGCCCGGGCAGCGCCCTTAAAGAGCCAGAGCCGCCCCGGGGGGGACAGCGGGGACCGGGGAGGGGGGGACAGGGGGAGGACGGGGGGGCTGGAGAAGAACAAGGGGCCTGGAAAAGGACAGGGGGTCGTGGGGAAGGACAGTGGGGCTGGGGAAGGACTGGGGGTCATGGAGAAGGACGGGGCTCTGGGGAAGAACTGGGGGTCACAGGGGGAAGGACAGAGGATCTGGGGAAGGACAGGGGCTCTGGGGGAGGACAGGGGGTCTGGGGAAGGACAGGGGCTCTGGAGGGAAGGACGGGGTCACAGAGAAGGACGGGAGGTCCTGGGAGAAATGAAGGTCAGGGGTCCCAGGGGGAGGGACGGGGGTCCCGGGGTAAGGAAAGGGGGGTCCCAGAGGAAGGACGGGGGGTCCTGAGGAGGAAGAAAGGACACGGGAGGAGGACAGGAGTCCTGGGAGGAGGACAGGGGGTCCTGAGGAGGGGAATCCCCCCTCCAGCTGAGCACGGGCGGCTCCGTGCGGGGGTCGCTGTCTCTGCACTCAAGGGCTGCCTCGAGAAACAGCTCCAAGGGCTGCAGGGAAGGAGAAAACCGCTCCGAGGGGGCTTTGAAAACTTCAGAACTGCAGGTTTTGGGGGGAGGTTGGTTTTTTTGTTTTGTTTTGGGGGTTTTTTGTGTTTGTTTTCTTTTTTTTTCTTTTTCTCTTTTCCAATTCATCCTGGAAATCTTAAAAAAAAAGAGCCGAGAGGACGCGGCGGCTGCTCAGAGCTGCGGGAGAGGGAGGGAGGGAGCGGAGCTGATGAGAGGCAGCGCTTCATCCCCGCCTGGAAGGAGGGAGCAGGAGCAGGAGCTGCAGCCCCGAGGTCTCTGCGCTGCCCCGGCCCCCTCCTCTGCTCACACCCCACCAGTGACCCCCCGGCACAGCCGGGAACAGAGGGAAAACCTCCCGGAGCACTTTTATCAGCCCCCCACCCCGAGGCGGCCGCTCAACCTTTCCCCTCCGTCATAAAACTGTCACCGAACGTGTCACCGGGTCACTGCTGCGCCCTCGTGCCCCACAGTCCGGGGGCTGAACCCGCACTTTGCCCCGGGCTCGGTCCCGGTTCCCCCGGGGAGGAGCTGGAACAGCACAGGGAGAGGGGAATGACGGGGGAATTCCAGCAGGGAACACGCCCGGGAGCTCGGGCTGAAGAAACCACCCGGCTGTGCAGGAAAAAGGCACAAAAAGCAGCACAACGGCCCGTGGTGACGACGAGAAAAGGGGTCAAAGTGGGCGACTGGAGGTGTTTCGCTGCAATGACCTTCAGCTCCTCCCAAACATCGAACCCTCCCTGCAGGGATGGGGAGAGGGGGCTCAGGGGGGCCCAGGCTGGGGAAATAAAGGAATCAAACCACTTTTGCCAACGGGACATCCATGGGATGCACGGGACTGGCTGAAGTGTCCAGTCAGCTTTAAATGCCACCGGGAACAGCAGGAATTCCCAGGGATTCCACGCCCCTGGTGCCAGAATCCTGCTGTGCTGAGGACACTTGGAATGAAAGTGGTTCTGCAAACACCTCCAGGCTCCCAGAGAAAGCCCAGGAGAGCCCTGGGCAGCTCCAGCCTCTGGTCATCCAGGAAAACCAGCCTGTGCCAGGCAGGAATAGGGAGGGGACAGGGCAGAGGGGTGTCCCAGCCCCCCCAGGCTGGCACAGTGACCTCAATCCCCGGCAGATTTCCACCTGGATTTCCCAACCTTCCCAAATTCCTGACTGGAACACCACGGGCAGCACCAGGCCCAGCTCCAGGCTCCCACACCTTGGATTCTCCCCGAATAAAACCCCCCTGAACCCACTGAATGGTCCTCTTGGGGTGTTTTTATTGACAGCCAAGTCCTGGACTCGAGGTCGTCAAGGGAAGTCAAACACAATCACCTCCCAAAGTGTTCAGGGAAGGAACCAAATCAACCCACTCCAACTTGGTTTTCCCCAAAATCCTTGGAAGAAAGAGCTCCAGAGCAACCTCCCGACCCGAGAAAACCCACAGGAGCCCCTCTCTTCCCGAAAATCCTCCCATTAAAAGTAAGGAACAAACAAGTTTTATTTTATTTACAGACTCGACCAAGAGGTTTGTTTTGTTTTTTGTTTTTTGTTTTTTTTTTGTTTGTTTTTAAATGACAACAAACCCCAAATTAATGGCCTTTGACAAACTGTGGTTGAGGGTTTGGTTCCTCTTCCTCCCCCTCCAGAGCACGGGAGGTGTGTTGTTGGCAAGTCTCTGGTTGTGCCGGGGGGGGGAACGAACGTAGTGCTCGGAAAACGAGGGGGGTGGGACCCCTGGGGTGGAGTGAACTCACCCTGCACCCCCTTTAAAATCCTGGAATCCATGAGCCACCCCATGCAGAGGGAAAACAGAGGCACTGGGGTGCAATGTCAGCTGGAGGTCAGACCTCTGGCACCGTCAGAACAACGCCCTGACCCTGCTCTGGGGGGGGGACACAGTCCCTTGGGTGGGAAAAACACAAAATCGAGGGGAAAAACAAAAACCCAGAGCAGCACAAGCTTCGGGTCTGGACAATGAAAGACCAGCTGTTATCCCAAAAAAACCACCCCCACGCTCCTTGGGAAGGCGGGAGCACGGATGGGGAGTCCCCTGAACTCCTCCCTGTGGGATCTTTGGTGCTGCCCTTGCACGTTCCCTCCCCGAAAACCCCCGTCCCAGCCCCCGTGGGGGCACCTGGGAGGGCTCCCAGGCCTTTCCCCTGGGATGAGGGGGGTGCTGTGGCCTCGGGGAGTTGGGACAATACCGGGAAAGAGGGGATGGGTGAAGCGGTTCCGTAACATTTCACAGTCAGGGAGCAAAACTGTTCTCCCAGGGCCCGTCCCTGGAGCCTCCTCAGTAATAAGGTCGCCGTGGGTTGTTCTGTGGGGAAGGAGGAGGAGAAAAACCATCACCACTGGGGGTTTTTGCCCAGCAGCTGAGCTCGACCGCCCCAAAAAAGCCGCTGAAAACGTGTCATTTCCGCACTGCAAACCTGAGGTTTGCCCCAAAATCACAGCTTTGGAGGTGTCCTCATCCCCATCCCTGCCCCTGCCCTGATTTTGGGACCCTCCCTCACCAGTGGCTCTCTCCCTGTCCTTTCTCTGTTCCCTGCCCTCTCCCCCACCAGTGGATCTGTCCCTATTCCTGTCCTGGTTTTGGGACTCTCCCTGCCCCTGGATCTATCCCAGCCCTGTCCCTGGTCCCTGGCAGCCCCTGGCTCTCTCCTATCCCCAGTTTGGGTGCCCCCTCACCAGGGGGTTGGGTCTGAAGCGATAGGCCAACATCATCCTCTTGCGGAAGGCCTCGTACTCGTCGTCCTCCTTGGTGAGCTCAGCAGGGCGGTCGATCCCGAATCCAGCCCCGTCCACGGCCGTGGTTCCCCTGGGTGGGAAGAGGGAAGGGAGGGAAGCAGGTGGGAGAGAGCTCCTTCCCCCAGGAGCGGCCTGCTGCTGTGGAATTCATCCTGCTGCTGTGGAGCTCATCCTGCTGCCGGGGGGTTCATCCCGCACGGAGCCGCTCCGGGCGCTGCCGCATTCCCGGATCCCCTTCCCAGGTCCAGGAGGTCTCCTGTTGCCACACGGAAGCAGGAATGCCCACAGGGGAGCAGGAGCAGGAACACCTCCCTCCCTGGAGGGGCAGGGATGGGGAAGCCACGCTCCTGCCCCCTGCTCTGTCACTCCAGTGGGATCAATCCCTTCCCTCCCCAGCAGTTCTGACATGGTCCATGGTCACATCCCGCCTTCCTTCCGGGAATCTGAGCCTGGCTTTTCCCACCTTTTACCCCAGGCAACACCTCTGAACCAACAACCACATCCCCGGAGCTTTGCACAGACATTTTCTGCCGTGCAGCAAACAGGGAACTTATTCCCACCGGGATCCATCCCTAAAAACCAACTCAAGGAGTGTTCCCCCTCCCCAGTGTTCAGCTTTGAAGCCCAACATATGCCACCAACAGATGATTCCACCCGAAAAGGGGGACACTGCCACTCCCAGAGCTGTGCAACACACAGAGTGTGATCAAACCAGGACATTTCTGGGCACAAAGAGCCACGTCAAGGCTTGTCAGGACCCCACAGAGCTCTGCTCTGGGCTGAGACCCCTCACACACAGCTCTGGCTGGGTCTGCCACTGCTCTTTAATGCTCTGAGAAATTTATGCCTTTAAAGACTCAACCCTGGAGGGAGGGGAGGCGCAGACAAGTGTTATCTTTATAAAAGATATTCCATTGTCTTTCCAGCTGGGGAGGCACCTCCCTGTGCAGGCTGGGGTGGGGAACACGGCCTCTTGTGGCTCAGCCCACAGCTCCAGCAGCAAAGCCAGGTTGGGTGGGGGGAAAGAGAGCCCAGAAAAAAGCAGGAATTCCCTCCTGTGCCCAAGAATCCCACGTGATGCATCCCAGGGCAGGAGCACTGACCCCAATCCTGGCAGGGAAGGAGGGAAGGGACAGGAGGAGAGGAGAGGGAGAGGAGAGCTGTGCTTACTTGCTGACGGGGTTCTTGATGCCCTGCCCCTCTGATCCCAGCCCCTCTCCTTCCTTCCAGCCCATCTTCATGAGCATCTGGTAGCCGATGTTCTCCACGGTCAGCTTGAACTCCTTGTACTCCGAGTAATCCGGCTCCCGGCCCTCCTGCAGGGGCACAGAGGGAGCCTCAGTTTTCCTGGGGGTCGTTTCCCACTCTGGGGGGGGAAAAGCAGCTCCAGGCACCCAAAGCCAGGCTGGTTTTGGCCAATAACCCCCGGGATTCCTCGGGATTCCGGCTCTGCAGCAGCACAGGGGAGGGAATCAGGCCCTGCCCGGAGCTGCTGGGATCCTGAATTTTAAGTTGCTCGATGGATCAAGTTGCAGATCCGGTTCTTATTTAAGCCTGAACCCCCCAGGGAACATCAGGCCCCACGCTGGATGCAGGGAAACAGGGAGGGATGTGCCAACATCAAGGAGTTCTGGGCTTTGGGAAGAATTGGCAGGTACTGGAGTGCTTTGCATAAGCTCTTTGCAGGCTTTGTGTTTTCCACTTTGCTGCAATCATCTGGATAAAAATTCAAATTTCCCTTGGCTTGGCATCAGCAGCCACTTATCCCAAACAGGAACTGCAGGAGGGTGGTCTGAGAGCTTTTGTCTGGAATTCCAGAGACCCCCAAAAACTGTCGGATCGTGGAACGGTTTGGGTTGGGAGGGACCTTAAAGCCCACCCAGTTCCACCTCCTTCCACTGGAGCAGGGGTGCTCCAGCCTGGCCTTGGACACTTCCAGGGATGGGGAATCCTCTGGGAAATCCATTCCAGGGCCTCCCCACCCTCACAGGGAAGGATTTCTTCCCACTATCCCATCTAATCTTGTCCTCTGGGGCTCTCCAGACCCTTGTCCCACGTCCCTCTCCAGCCCTCCCAGAGCCCCTTCAGGCACTGGAAGGGGCTCCAAGGTCTCCCTGGAGCCTTCCCTTCTCCAACCCGGCCTTGGAAGTGCTGCCACCACCCCAGGAAGTCTCTGCTGTGTCACCTTCAGCGCCTTGAAGGTCTCCATGAACTTCTCCAGCTCGTCGGGCGGGAGGAAATCCCCGATGAAATGTTTCCCTCTGCCCATCTGGGTCAGCTGCTCGGCCCACTCTGCCAAGAGACGAGAGGAAACAGGGATAGCAGGGCGTTCTCTGGGGTCTCAGGGGGGCTGTGGAGCACAGGGATGGACACTTGTCACCCCCACTCAGGGAGAGGTGACCCTGCAGCTCCCGATCCTGCCGGGGGAAGCGGGAGCTCTCCCCGGGAAGGGCCCTGACCCACCCACCTCGTGTCTTGTCCATCTCCATGCGCCTCAGCTGGTGCTCCCAGGTGCCCAGCTCGCTGTCCACCTCCTCGTCGCTGTCGTAGCCGTGCTGGTGCTGCTGGATGGCCTTTTCCCACATCAGCTGCATCTCCTGCATGGCCCGTTTGTGCTTCATGATCATGTCGTACATCTGCTGCATCTGTGGGGGCAAGGAGAGCTCAGAGCCCTGCCCAGAGCCCTGCCCTGCTCAGAGCCCTGCCCTGCCCAGAGCCTTGTCCAGAGCCCTGCCCTGCCCAGAGTCCTGCTCAGAGCCCTGTCCTGCCCTGCCCAGAGCCCTGCCCTGCCCAGAGCCCTGCCCAGAGCCTTGCCCAGAGCCCTGTCCTGCCCAGAGTCCTGCCCAGAGTCCTGTCCTGCCCTGCTCAGAGCCCTGTCCAGAGCCCTGTCCTGCCCTGCCCAGAGCCCTGCCCTGCCCAGAGCCTTGTCCAGAGCCCTGTCCTGCCCTGCCCAGAGTCCTGCCCAGAGCCCTGCCCTACTCAGAGCCCTGCCCAGAGCCCTGCCCAGAGCCCTGCCCAGAGCCCTGCCCTGCTCAGAGCCCTCCCCAGAGCCCTGCCCTGCTCAGAGCCTTGCCCTGCCCAGAGCCCTGCCCTGCCCCCCAAAACACAGCCCAGGGCAGCCCCACACCCCCCAGGGCAGAGCTGCTGCTCCCCCTCCCCTCAGACAGCACATTCCCAGGCTGGTTCCCCCAGCAGAGCCCCGGGATGTTCCCACTTGTTCCCCTGAGCATCCCCAAGAGCCAGTTCTGCTCCCATCCCCCCCAAACCCTGCAGGAACCCCCTCAGCTCCCCCTCCTCCCCCACCACTGCCGAGCAGCCCTGATCCAGCTGCAGCTGTGACACCACAGACCTTATAGATTTTGGGTTTAGGTTGGGAGGGCAGCAATTGGCTGCTTCCACCCTTATTCCCCAAAGCCCCAGGGCTGTTCCTGCTGACTGCAGCATCCTGTGCTTCCCAGGCATCCAGCACAAATCCCACAGATTTATTTGTGGCCGCTGCAAAAGGTTTCTTTTTGCTCCCCCCCATCCCCCCCCCCCGTGAATTTTGGGAACTGTTTCGGGGCTTCACCTCCTGCTGCTCCTTCAGCTGCTTCTTCTGGGCCTCGGAGAGCTCGGTGACCCCCACCAGCCCCACGGGCTTCCCCTTCTCGTAGCCAAGGCCCTTCAGGTCCTGAACTGTGACAAACAGGGGTTAAAAGGCTCGTTAGAGACCTGAGACACCAGGGAGAGCAAATCCCAAAGCCTGGTTTGGGCGGGAAGGGACCCGAAGGGTCACCCAGTGCCACCCCCTGCCCCGGGCAGGGACAGCTCCCACCAGAGCAGGTCGCCCAGGGATGGGGGTGTTCCCAAGTTTTTACACTCATTTCGTGGTTCCAGCATTGGAGAGGCTCGACCCAGAAGGATTTGGGAATCACAGGAGCAGGGAGGTCACTGGGCAGCAGCTCCTTTGCCTCCCTCCCCCTGGCCCACGGCTCTGCCCAGAGGTGTTGGGAGACTCCCAGGGGGGGTCACAGTGTGTGGAAATCTGCTTTAAAAATCCCTTCTCCTTAAGATCCCTCTCCTCAGAAGGCTCCTGGTGAACCCCAGCCATCCCAAAAAGTGGTAATTCATCATCCAAGTGGAGCCACGAGCAACGGGAGCCGTCGGCCCAGGACCCCCAACAGCAACTCCTCCCCAGATGAAAAGCAAATTCCCACATCAGGACAAAATTCCCACATCAGGACAAAATTCCCACGTTATCCTGCCCTTGGAAGGTGCCATCCCCCGGGGAGGTTTCAGTGTCCATGTCCAGGCTCAGCAGCAGCACCCCCAGGGATGTCACCCCTGCTCCCAGAGAGGGGCACCTCTTCCCTGCAGCATCTCCCGTTGGAAGCTCCCCCTTTGGAATTATTTCTGCTGTTTCATCAGCTGAACCCCCGAAATTAGATCTTCTCATTACCTGGGCAGGGCACTCAGTGATTTGAGGTGACCACACCGGGTTCAGAGGGCAAGTTAAAGGGAAGAGAGGAGGGGGGGAAAGGAAAGGAATCCTATTTATAAAGGGCTGCAGCGTGAAGGGAAGTAATAAAACCACTGCTGGGGCTGCAAAAAAAAAAAAGGAAAAAGAGATTTCCAGGAGAGATTGCCTTGCAAACTCGGTTCATGCATCTCCAGCAGGGCTGGCAGCTCCTCTCCAAAGCACCTCAGAGCTCAGATGCCACCGGTTAAAATATTTAAGGGCCTAAAAGAAGCCTCAGAGCTGCATTTTTCAGTACAAGGGGAAGGATTTCTTCTTCCTAACGACCTGCCAAGCCCCCTGTGTGCGTGTGAGTGCAGGGCCAGCCTCCAGTTAAGTGATGCTTCATTCATTATTCACGATCTATTAATTATGAAGCCCCAATTAGAAGAGGATCGTTGTTCACTGCCCCTGGGGGAGGTGGTGGTGTAGGTCGGTGTCTCCCTCCCTCTGAGCACTCTGAGCCCCCTCCCCTTCCCCACAGGTCTCCCAGTGGTTTCCTGAACTCCAGGAGGACATTCCCCAGCTCTTTTACCCCCTCCCCAAGCTCCAGGCCCTGCACACTCCCCCCTCCTTACATAAAACCCCACCAGAGGTTTTCCAGGAGCAGGGGATGGAGTGTGGTGCTGGGAATTGCACTGTCAGCTCCCCAGGAACGGGAGCAAACAGGAGAATAAACCTATTTCTTGCTGATAGCCAGCCTGGTTCCTGCCTGGGGGAGCTGGGAATGGGTTTAATGGACCCGTCAGGGCTGATCTAAGGGAAAGGACCCGGCCCCACATGTGATGTGTGGGCACTCCGGCATCACCCCCCGGCTCAGGGCACTGGAAAGCTCTCCCTGAGTGCTCCAAGGAAAGCTCTGCCCTTCACAGAGGTCACAGCAGCTCCCCCTGAGCTGCAGGAACACCCAGCTGGGAGCTCCAGAGGCTCCAGTGCCTTCCCAGCAAACCTCAAAGGTGAGGCTGAGCATCCTCCTCCCCTTGCCAGGAATGAGATCCCGCTGCTCCTCCCCTTCCCAAAACCACCCCCCACCCCCCGGGCTGTCTGACTGCAGGAATTCAGCCCTGGGAGGTGTTTTTTTCGTGGCCTCGGCCCAAAGGATCACAACGGGCAAAGTTGGGAAAAAAAAAAGGGAAAAGCTCCACCCCGAGCTCCGTCTGCAGATGGAAAAGTGTCCATAAACAGCACCAAGGAATTTGCATGGAAATAGATAAGGTTTATAAGCTCCCCCAAGCTTTCTGGCACCAGGTAAACTGTGCAGAAGACAAGGGGCTGCTGCTCAGCCTCAGGTTCAGCAGGGTTTGGGGGAAAAAAGATCCCTTTTTTTGCCTGGAGTGACATCAGCTTTGCCCACGGGGTTAATGGTGCAGTGTGTCTGCAGCGCTGGCAGAGCAGCACCCGAAGCTTTATCCCTCTCCCAGATGCCTGAGGAGCAGCAGCTTGTCACAGGAGAAGGGAACAACGTCCTCCAAGGACAGCAGGAGAAACCCCAGCTCAGAGAGCTTCCCTCCTTCCCAGCCTGGAGATCTTAATCCAGGCTAAACAGACCCAACCCCGGGTTTCAGGAGGTTCCAGTGACAGCCTGTGGTTTGTCACTGACCCCCAGAGTTCACTAATCACACATCTCTGGCTCAGCTTTTGGGATCCCTCAGCCCCCGCAGGGAGCCAGGGAAGTGTCTGGGTATCAATATATTGAGAAGAGGAGCCTTGTCTCTCTCTCCAGAAAGGGCCACACTTTCTCCTCTCCACCACCCTGATTTATCACCGAGGGAGGACAGGAAGAGAATCCTCCCCCAAATCCAAAACAATTGCTAAGGATAAAGGACTAAGACACGGACATTTAGGTACCAGAGCAGCTCTCCCCTTCCACAGGAGCAGCAATTTGCAGCTCCCTTCACCTGTCAGGTCGAGGCTGTTAATTCCAAAAGGGATTAGTCCAGCTGAACTGATAGCAGGAATTAATCCTTCCCCCTGCAGAGCATTAAGGGCTGATTTGTTCTGCCTGGCAAAGTGGCTGCTGTCCTTTTCTCCTGCCTGACACAAAGCCCTGAGCAAAGGCAGCAGCAGCACCAGGAGCGTGTCCCTGTCCCACCATCGGGGGGGGGCTGAGGGAGCCAGGGGAATTCCAGCACATGGATACCCCTGCAGCCCCCCCCTGCAGCTCTGAGAGCCCCTGCTCGGCTTCACCCACGTCTGCAAGGGAAAATTCCCGGAAATACAACCACCAGGAGAGGTTTCTGCATGTGATTCCTGCCCTGCAAGGAGCAGCAACCCCAGGCCAGTGACTGCACGGCGGGAGAGGCACAGCCAGGGTTCCTGGGCAGGGCTGTGATCAGAGGGCACAGCCACCAGGAACTCCCCTCCACCTGCTCTGGCAGTGCTGGATAAGGGGCAGGAGCCCTCCTTCCTCCTCCCTGAGCAGGCCCAGGGCAGCAGAGCCCAGCCAGCCTGATCCCAGGATTAATGCTGAGCAGCAATTCCAGCCCCAGGAGCAGTGCCAGGGACTTGCTGGAGAAACGAACCACAAATTATCTGAAAATTAGAGCTTTTCCCATCCCTTGTCCCACTCCAGCGGTTCTGCTACTGCTCTTTCACAAGGTCCTTCTTGCTCTTCCTGTGGCTCCACCCTGGGGCCATCAATCCTCTCAATTTGCCTCATGGCTTCCCTTTCTTCTCCCATCTCCCTTCCCACTCCAGGCTAATTGGGCAAAGATGCCTTTGGAAGTGTCTGTGTTCACCTGGGACTGGTTTTGTGCCCTCCCCAAGCACCCAATTACTGCTCTGCACAGGCCCAGGTGGAGCTGAGCCTCCAGAGCTCCCCAGAAGTGCCTCAGCCGGAGGGATGAGATTCCAGCACTTGGAAAGAGTGGGAATGGACTTGGGCAGGTGGAGCAGCACCAGCTGGGTGAGGCCTGTGAGCCTCAAACGAGCCAAAACAGCTCAAAACCCCAAGTTCTGCTCGAGTCCACCCTCACCCAGGGAACAGCCACTCCCAGTCAGCAGGGAGGGGTGGGAGTGCTTCCAGGGATTCCATCCCAGGGATTCCATCCCAGGGAACAGCCATTCCCAGTCAGCAGTGAGGGGTGGGAGTGCTTCCAGGGATTCCATCCCAGGGATTCCATCCCAGGGAACAGCCATTCCCAGCCAGCAGTGAGGGGTGGGAGTGCTTCCAGGGATTCCATCCCAGGGAACAGCCATTCCCAGTCAGCAGTGAGGGGTGGGAGTGCTTCCAGGGATTCCATCCCAGGGATTCCATCCCAGGGAACAGCCATTCCCAGTGAGCAGTGAGGGGTGGGAGTGCTTCCAGGGATTCCATCCATCCCAGCACGGGGAATGAGCTCTGACAGCTGGTTCCTGGGAGTGGAACAGCCCCAGCCAGTGGCTGTGAGAGCACAGCAGGGCTTCCAGACAGCAGGGGAACGATGGGATCCGATGGGATCCAAGCCCTGGTGCCGGGGAGGCGAGGTGGGTTATCTGGGATCCCCCCCAGGGAAGAGCTGGCAACCAAGGAGACCCAACAGGAGAGAACTCCCCCCACACCCAGAGCTGGGGCAGAGGGACAAGGAGGGTAAATCCAGGAGCATCCCCCGGCCCCACTGACCTGAGAGAGGGGAGGGAGAGTCCAGCTGCTGCACCAGCTGTGGCAGGGGCAGCTCCACCTTGTCCTCCTCCGGCCCCCACCGGCTCTTCCGCTTCTTCTTGGTGGTGCCCGGAGCGGCCGCGGGGGTGGCCGGGTTTGGGGCTGGGTTTGGGGCTGTCTGCTCAGGGGGGGTTGTGGAGGAGGAGGATGGTGATGGCGAGGGGGAGGAGGGCACGGGGAGGGCTGGGGGCACTGCCAAGGGCACGGGCAGAGGGGAGGGCACGGGCAGGGGAAGGGGCAGAGGGGAGGGGACGGGCACGGGAAGGGGCAGAGGGGAGGGAATGGGCACGGGAAGGGGCAGAGGCAGGGAGGGGAAGCACAGAGGGGAGGGCGAGGCCTCGGGGCTGGTTTTCCTTTTCAGGCTGGGCTCTCCAGGGAAAGGGGCACAGCCAGGGCCGGCCTTGGCCTTCCGGAACTCCTCCAGCTTCTGCCTGTAATACTTGTAGCCTTTGCTGTTTGGCTCATACAAAAACCTAAAGAAAAGACCCCAAAAGAAACAAGAGTTGAGCCGTGGCAGCCACACACGGGGCCGGGCTCCAGCACTGTGCTCGGGGCTCTCCCTTCCCGCAGTGCCAGGAGCCTTCCCACACAATTCCCGGCTCTCCAGCACCTCCCCGTGTGCACCCGCGGCCAGTGCAGGGCTTTTCCCACCCCCTGATCCCACATATCCCGCGGGTCGGTTCCCTGGTTTTGGTGCCAAACGAACCCGGGGTTCTGCAAAGGTCTGTGGGGAGGTAAAGCCCTCCCCCCAGAATCCACCTGCTTGGAAAACCTGCCGGGTTTTCCGGAGTGTTGGGTTTCAGTTCACAGGAGAAAACAAACATTTTACCGGTGGGAAAGTCAAATCCCTGCCTAAGGAAACTGCTCCCAAGCCCCCTGTTAAAGCTGGAAGCGTTGCCATTACCAGCCTGCTTAATTACACCACAACTGCTCCCTCTGTTCCCTCATCCACAAAAAAGCACGGATTTATTGGCCAGCCCTGCCAGAAATAGGTACATCTCCGAGCTTTTTGGGGGGAAAACAGAGCTCCTGGGGGTCTGTGGGAAGAGCAGGAAGAACCCTCAGTCCAGCAGCCAGGTGAGGGAAGAGAACCAACATGTTTGTCACAAACAGGTTGGGGTTTTGGGCTCACCCCCCCATCACCTCAGCGCCTTCCTCCCCTTCCCAAAAGCCACAGAGGGGGGATAAAAAAAGCAGGGTTGTGCTGTACCTGAAAGCAGGGTTCTCTCTGTTGTTCTGCAGGGCAATTGCCTCCGCCTCGGGCCCCCCGGCTGCCACAAACTTGGCCAGCTTTTCCGCCGAATTCCTCGTCTCTTCGTCGTCTGGGGGTGAAACTTTAAGCAGGCCGTGAGTACTGGGCCCAACTCAACAAGCAACAGTCAAAGCCTACCTGGTTCTAAGGACCCCAAGAGCAGAATAAGGGCAAAAGTGGAGTTTAATCGGGAGAAACGGCAGCACAGAAACAGTTTCACAGCACAAACAGCACAAACAGCACGGCCCTGGCACCAGGGCAGGGGGGGCAGGGGACACCCAGGCCACCTGCCAGGGTGGGCACTCGGTCCTCCCTGCTGGGATGCCATTTTTCCCTAGGCCAGGTATTATTCCACAGAGTTCCACCCCTCAGGATTATCCCTGGTGTCCATTTTTCCCCCATGCCAGGCACTTTTCCGTAAGATTACACCCCTCAGGATTATCCCTGGTTTCCATTTTATCCTGTGCCAGGCACTTTTCCATGGGGTTACACCCCTCAGAATTATCCCTGGTGTCCATTTTTGCCTGTACCAGGCACATTTCCATGGGGTTACACCCCTCAGAATTATCCCTGGTGTCCATTTTTGCCTGTACCAGGCACATTTCCATGGGGTTACA